GCCCGGCACGACGCTTCCCTGGGAAGGCGGGAAGACTTCCTGGAGCTTCCGATTCTCGACGTGTGACCTGAGGCAAGGAACGATGTTTTTTTGCATATTATGTATTATGCGCAAAGTGCCAATGGTGGATTACATCGTCGAAAAGCTTGTCGCCCGCATTGGCCTCCTCTGCTGTGCCAGACGGGCGCAGGTCGTTTCTTCAGTAGGTCGTCGGCGAAGCCTGATAAGGATGAATCCTGGTGGTACCCCTCTATCTCGTCATACATAATGATCGGGTCCTGAGTTAGGTTCTTCCAATGTGTGATAAGTTTATGATGGACGCCTGCGAACTGTTTGGGGGCTTCACTTGATTTCTGCAATCCGCCGTGGTGAAGTAAGAAAGCCCCATCATTATCCTCCACTGGAATAGCCGCTATGCTGTTCACCAGCCTTTTGGTGCGCCAGTGCCTGGAGGTCGTCACGCACGAGTTGTTGGCTGATGTGTAGGAGGTCGCCCGTCCTTGGGCAAAGGAATGCATTGGTAAGGTCATGCAGCTCATTGATGCGATGATTCATCTGGCGTCGGAGTGACCAGCCTGTCCGTCGTTGTACCAATATTGCTCCTTCTCGGCGTCGGTGTGCTAGGAACCCACGCCAGTGACTGGGGGTAGTTGTCGTCCAGGCCAGCTTGCGATCCCCCCATCCGAAGAGTACAGCGTAAAAGCTCTTCCAGATTGTGTCTGAGAGGTGAATGATTCGCTGGCTGGACATCTGCTTCTTCAGATTACGTTCGTCAAGGAGGATGCCTTCGGTGATGCTGGGTTTGGTCGGGAGCTGGCTGGCCCGAAGGCAGTGGACAAAAGCCCCCATGAAGTGGGACTTGGCGCTGGTGTGGTGGGAAGCTGCGTCCAATGCGTTGTGTCGGCCGTCTTGTGATCGTATCGCGTGTAAATGTTGGTCAGGGTTGTAGTCGAAAGTCGTCGGAGCTGGCGCTGGCGCTGGCGCTGGTTGGGGGGCGGGGTCAAGTGCTGGTGGGCGTTCGTCGGGCGCGGGGGGGTCCTCGCCATCCAAGTCGTCGAACGGGTCAATGTCGGGTCGGCCCATGGTTGCAAGTGCCCCCTGTGGTTGGCGGCGTTCGGCGTCGTTCTGTTGTGGTGGTGTGGTTGAGGCAGGGATGGACTGGATGGTGGTAGGTGGGTTCGTCGTCTGCGTCAGAGTGGGCGCGGTCGTGGGCTCAGCTGGTGCGGTTGTGTAGCAGCCCAAGCCCCCATGCAAAGTGAAGGTCCCTGCCAGGTACGTCGGGTCGATAGTCATCAGAGCCCTTCCACTGGTGCGCTCCACTTAGTAGTGCTGCGTCGCTTCTGAGCCCGTCGTAGTCGAAGTAGAAGTTGTTGGAATAAGGTGCCAGCCGTGATCTCCATAGTCGTAGTGCGTATGCGCAAGAAGTCGCCATCTAGAATAGAAAGAAATTGTTACATGGGCTCGGAGCTCAGCGAGGGGGGGGGGGGGGGGGCTTATAGCTGGGGAGGTGGTAGTAAATGCGGCTCTTCACTCCCATGGCCTTGCCCGCGGGGAGCCGTGCGATACGACGCGCGTCCGCCGCGTGCCCCAGGCGTCGGGCCTCCGCCAGCTTCTGGTAAAAATGCTTTCGGTAGGTCGCATAACCTTGCCGTGCAGCTCTTCGGATGTAGTACGTGGCCTCGCTGATATCGCTCTTGAGGCTGTTCAGGTAGACTTCGTGCTGATCCAGAACTTCCCCGTAGACCTGCCACAGGTGGGCGAGTTGGTCGCGTAGTTGTCGGCGAGCTCGTAGTTTCTCGAGGCGTGTGCGGCGCCAGTGGGTGGCCTCATCGTGTTCATGTCTGACTCCGTGAACTCCGACATGGGCTTGAGCGGTGCCCAACAAGGTCTGCGCCCACAGGTCGTAGTCGAAATCGGGGTGCGGCAGGTCGGCGTAATTGGAAAGCTGGTCGGTGATATCTTTCATCCGCTTGTCGAGCTCTCGGTGGAATCCGAGTCGGTCTTCGCCGTGTTGTAGTGCCCGAGCCAGCTTAATGTAGTCCCATCTGGGTCGCAGATGACGTTGGACGAACGTCGGCGTCTCGCAGTCGATCGTGAAAAACAAAGGGGGGTGGTCCCTGGGCTGAGCGTCGGGGACGATTTGAAGCTTACGTCCGCGTCTCCAGGCCACAGTGCACGTCTTGATTCCCTCCCGCAGGGATGATGAGATGAGGCCAATGTCTATTGTGGGCGTTTCCTGTCTGGGTCCGTAGTACGTGGGCCCTGCGCTCGGGTAATATGTGTTCACGCAAGCCATATCGAGAGACTCCATAGTGTTATACATCAGATTGCCTGCGACGCCGCTCCGCTTGAGGTGGTGGGCTCCGAAAAGCTGTTCGTCTGGGTCGATTCGAGTCTCCTCCGTCATCCTTTGGCCGGACCTCGAATTGATGTCGAAGCCTGCGATAGGTGTGCATCGGGCAGGTGCGCTCGCCAGTCGGTTGTGGATGTGCTGCATGGTCAGCTCAATGCTGCGCTGCTGTGCTCGTTTGGCCGAGCCCGTCTCATTGAGTGGCGGAGGGTAGCCCGTGACCGCCAGGATGTCAACGCCGCCTGACTAGATCTGAATGTCGCCTGCCCTACCCTCCAGTCCTCGCGGCGCTGGGGCAATTGAAGTAATATGGTTCCGTCTCAATCGTCTTCCTAGAACTATGCACGTCCCCGCACAATTGGTCACGTAAGGGGGGCGGCGCCATCCAAAATGAACTGCCGTCCGTCTGTTCGGTAAATTCTTAACATGCTATTGTCTATCAAGCCAGTATCTGACTCGTGTGCCGTTGAGAAGGAGTACGTCCACGTCCAACACACTCGCGATCTCCTCTAAACGTGAGCTCTGGATAAGAGACAATGGGTTGTAGACCGCCACGCGTAGGAGAAACCGCACGGATGTGATCCCCTCACAGGACCTTTGTCCATACACCAGATGGCGGGTGAGGGGTCCATGGGAAGGCGCGAAGAATGCGGGGGCCTTCTGCTCGCTGCCTGCTGCGAAGCTTAAGCCGAGGTGGCAGCTGTAGAAGCTGGCCAATGCAAATTATCAACGCGCAAGTGACACAGAGGGAGAGTGCTATCAAAACAACTGGGTCCAACTGGTTACGAAGGTCTCCGTAAGCGGAGACGGCACACATTACTTTATGATACGTGGCTTCAAGTCGCTTTACGCTACTATTTCAAGGACCGGTGCAACAAGCTTGTCAACGTATGCAAGGCCAAGTGTATGGAAGGGGCCTACGACGTTACTATAGACGACCGCCCCGAATGACCACACTACGGACAATATCCTCCGCAACCTTTGAGAGATGGATATAATGGCATGCGACCAAGAACTACATCACGCTTGAGATCCAGCGTTGCGGCTCGGCTATGCGGTTCAATTGCTTATGTCCTTGGACTTCGACAAGACGACTACGTCAGGCTCACAACAGTACGATCTGGACCCCGACCAATATACGCACATGAAGGTGTACTACACGAACTAGAGAGGCGACGGGCGTGGCCTGGATAACGAGCTCACGTTACAACACCAACCTACCATCCCAGGCGGTACAAAATACTTCGTCGACCTCCTTGACTCTCACGGCGGTCCTATGATGCGCGAGTGCTACATCAACTACGGCCTACCCTCCCCGACAAATGCGTCTAACAAACGCACCCGGCAGCTCCAGTACGGACATACCAAGCGGGCGCGCGCCAATACTGATGAGGGCGGCTAAGCAATACATGCAATATTTGGTACATCGTTACCGGCAAGTTCTTGTTGACACATCGTTGCTGACATTAGGTCGGGCGCGTCCCCCAACAGGCGGATTTTGAACCAAAAACTCTAAAACATAGTGAAAGCACATAGTTTTAAACAACAAGTCATCACACATACTATAACAAAGAATCCACATACTATGTTTTCACTGAAACTTTGAAACAAGTAGTCATCATACGTTCTAGCAGAGCGTCATCACACATACCAAAACAGAGAGTCCCCAGACGATGTTTTGACCAAAACTTCGAAACTAATAGTCAACACATGTTCCAGCAGAAAGTCATCAAGCATACCAGAACAGGAAGTCCCCCGACGATGTTTTGACTAAAGCTTTGAAACAGAAAGTCATCAAACAATATGCCCCCCGGACGGCCTCGGGCACCGAATCAACTCGAAGGCAGGGGGGGCAGGGTCCACTTCCAGGAGGAGGAGGAGGAGGAGGAGGAGGCGGAGGAGGCGGAGGAGGAGGAGGGAGGAGGAGGAGAGGAGGAGAGGAGGGGGAGGAGGAGGAGGAGGAGGAGGAGGAGGAGGAGGAGGAGGAGGGAGGAGGGGCGGAGGAGGAGGAGGAGGAGGAGGCATATCGCCCCCGTGGAGGGGCGGGCCCGACTCAACACCGGCATGGGCAGCTGCTGCCTCTGCGGGGCCCCGCCGCTCTCCCCGCGCTCCCGGTTCTCCGCGTGGCCTTCAAAGCCGGAAGGCCGGTGGCCTCCCCCTGCTCCTCCTCCTCCTCCTCCTCCTCCCTCCTCCTCCCTCCCCCTCCCCCCTCCTCCTCCTCCTCCTCCTCCTCCTCCTCCTCCCCCTCCTCCTCCTCCCCTCCTCTCCTCCTCCTCCTCCTCCTCTCCTCCTCCTCCTCCTCTCCTCCTCCTCCCCCTCCTCCTCCCCTCCTCCTCCTCCTCCTCCCTCCCCCTCCTCCCCCTCCTCCCCTCCTCCTCCTCCTGGTCCTCCTCCTCCTGGTCCTCCTCTCCTGGTCCTCCTCCCCCTCCTCCCCCCTCCTCCCCCTCCATCCCCTCCTCCCCCTCCTCCCCCTCCTCCCTCCTGGGGGTCCCAGGGCCGAGTGGGGTGACAGACCCGGCGGTGACCTCGAAATCCGCAGAGACCTCACCGCAGGGCCCGTCACCGCACGGCTTTTCTTGGGGCAGTTACAGTCGACCCGTATAGCAGGGATGCCCGATGAGGGTGCAAGGGCCTCGGACGCCCATTTCGTGCTTTTCGAGTTGGGCGCGGCCAACGGAAGTGGCGAAGGTTTGGACCGAGGAAGCGAGGATGCAAGGATAGCCTTGGGAAGGTTGCCCATCCCTCTTATGCGGGTTGACCGTAAAGACAGCGGCCGTGCCAGGCGCGGACAGCAGAAAACGCAGTCTGGGCCGCTGTGGTCTCTCGGTTGATAGCCTCTTGCGCACGCGTGCGTCTCAGCACGAGGAAGCGCCGAACAACTGGAACATGTGAGAAAAACAATCAAGACGTACTGCCATCAGAGGAACGCGAGAGACATCGCGGCGGCCAGGGGTATACTGGAAGGCCAGCTTTACCTGAGCACCGAACTGCTTGACAGCAGCGACATGTGATTCTGGCACTCCTCGTCTGGGGTCTCGGCCTTCGTGTGGTCGCCGTCGCCGAGAAGGCCTCCGGCACTGTACCCCGCGTGCTGCACGCGGCCCGCGAAGAAGTTCAGGTACGGCGTGGCCTTGACCGTCCTGCCGTGGACCACCTTCAGCGAGACGGCGCCGAAGTCCACCCAGCCCGTGCTGGTCTTGGGCGGGGCGGCCCCGGCGACGAAAGTGGTGTTCTTGTGCCCGAATGACCACTGCCCAGTAATGTTGATGGCCGTGAAGTACATGTCGTCGCAGGAGTGCCCGTATCGGACCACGTCTGCACTTGCGGCGAGCAGCAGGTCGCGCTTGTCGGCGTCGCGGGAGATGTGGAGGAGCTTGTACCTGCCAGCGCGCATGATATCGAAATGCTCGCCGAGCATGTTGACGAGATGCGGGTCGCCCACTGCTGTGGGGTCTTCTGGGACAGTGGTGATTGTGTCGCAGATCTCCTCGATCAACAGGGCGCTGAATTCTGTCGCGGTAACGCCAGAGAACTGGATCTCCTTCAGCTGGTGTGGGTCGGAGGGGTCCGCGTAGCATCCCCTCCATGGCAGTGTCGGTTTGTACGTCGAGTCCCACAGCATAGATGATGTCGTGCTGGTGTCCAGGTGCCCCAGGATGAGGTTGATACCGGCCGCCCTGATATCCTGCATCAGCGTGCACTGGAGGGCGTCGGTCTGATACGGCGTCCGCTGGGAGTCCCTGTCCTTCGAGATGACAATGAGAACCTTCACGGCGCTCGGATCCCATGGATTGTTGTGCAACATCTGCCCCATCGCGCCGGCGTTGTCCTCTGGACTGTCGCCGCCGCCTGTGGAGTAGAAGGGGGCGATCGCGGCTTGCAGCTGGACGGAGTCCGTGAACCAGTGAGCAAGCGGATTAGGGTGCACTGCCCACTCGTAGCGGGGAGGGGACACATCGCCCTCGTCGCGGTAGCACAAAAATGCCATCTGCAGCGTGGTGACCGACGCCGACAACTGGGCCGCCAGGTTGCCGACTGTCGTCTTCAGAGACGCGAGGTACGCCCCGGTGCTGCCGGTGCAGTCCATGGCGAACCCGATTTGCAGCCAGGGGATGGTCTCGTTCGTGCAGTTCTCCGTCTCGTTCACGGCCGTCGTCGGCGGCGTGCGCAGCGCCGCGGAGAGCTGCATCGCCAGGGTGTCGGCGAGCCGCATCGCCAGGGCGTCGGCGTCGGCGGCGGCCTCCAGTCCGGAGAGGGACGCCCCGCGTGCGCCTGCCAGCAAGCACGCCAGCAGCACGCGCGAGCGAGGGGGCACCATCCTGTCAGGTGCGGAGGCGAGTCTGATGGGCCTGTTTTCCACCACCACCACCAGAAGTTGGAGGGGGGGAGGGGTCCTCCACCTCCTCCTCCTCCTCCTCCTCCTCCTTCACCTCCTTCCCCCCTCCAGCTTATGGTGGTGGTGGTGTAAAGCAGGCCCATCTGAAGAAGTGTAGAGTAGTGTGTGCTGAAGTGGAAGGCGGTGCCAGGCCTTGTGCCAGAGTGGCTACGGATCTGTCACCGCACAGTTTTGGGTCCCTGGAGGCCTCCGTTGCCCAAGACATCTTCGGAGAACGACCCAAGTCCCAAAACCGAGCGGTGACCAAGGCCGCGCTAGCGGCGATGTTGCTCAACGGCGATGTTGGGAATTTAATGTTTTGCGACACCGAGCTGGCGCAGAACAATTTGTAGGACATCACGAACCACACTTTCCTACATTTCAAATGTGCGAATGTATCGAGCCAGAGCGGTACAACGATTTTTTTCCACGAACCAATCCCACCTACAATGCCAAAACCTATATCGCCGTTACCTGCATTGCCGTTGGCGCGGCTACGGGGTGACCCCGAATCCCCACCGACTCACCACGTGAGCGTTTTTCCTTAAATATAACACAATGTATTATTAATACTATTTGGCGTTTGCGACTATTATCATTATTCGGCGTTTCGACATTGGGCAGAAAAAAGGGGGGGAGGGGGGGTGTCTGGATCCTGCTCAACGCGACTGTTTGCAGCAGTCCGTCCATTATGGGGGAGGTTCCACCTGCTCGAAGCGGGCGCCCAAAACAGCCAAGATCCACTCCAAGGTGGGGGAGGGGGGTGCGAGGGCCCGCGCCGATCGGCAAAACAATGAATAAACAACGAACGCATAAACAGAAACTTTTGGCGTTGCGCGCGGATTTCTTGGAGCTGCGCTGGCACGCCCCCTCCCTGGCGCGCGGAGCGCGCTGGGGGCGACCAGCGCAGGCCCAAGAAATCCGCGCGGAGAGGCAAAAGTTTGTGTTCACGGCGTGTTCGTCTTCTTCGATGGGAACCCTTCGGGAGAGGACCGAACCGTGGGCGGTGGCACGCCCCAGCGGAAGCCAGTGCATAACGGCGCTCGGGCGTGCCGCGCGGTGTGGCCACCACCCCGTTCGGGGCCCCCGTCCCTGGAGACGACCCCCCAGGCGGCGTCCGGAGGGCCTGCGCGCGCGCGGCCAAAGCGCGGGCGCGGAGAGGGGGGCCCCGCCGATGCGGCTGCGAGAGAGGAGGAGGAAGAGGAGCAGGAGGAGGAGGAGGAGGAGGAGGAGGAGGAGGAGGAGGAGGAGGGAGGAGGAGGAGGAGGAGGAGGAGAGGAGGAGGGGAGGAGGAGGCGGAGGAGGAGGAAGAGGAGGAGGAGGAGGAGGAGGAGGAGGAGCAGGAGGAGGAGGAGGAGGATAGGATGGGGAGGGGGAGGAGGAGGAGGAGGAGGAGGAGGAGGAGGAGGAGGAGGGAGGAGGAGGAGGAGAAGGAGAGGTGGAGGGAGGAGGCGGATGAGGAGGAGGAGAGAGGAGGAGGAGGAGGAGGAGGAGGACGATTATGATGCTGATGAGGAGGAGGAGGAGGAGGAGGAGGAGGAGGAGGAGGAGGAGGAGGAGGAGGAGGCGGTGGGCATAGGAGCCCCCGCCGGACGGGCCGCGGTAGGGGGGCGAACCGCTTCCTACCCATCACCCGTCGCGGCACGCCAGGCCACAAAGGCCCAGCCGCGGCCCCAAAAGACCAGCCCAGGAGGGGCCCACAAAGGCCACGGACCCAAGGGGCCCGAGGCGCGTCGGGGAGGGGACGGAAGCGGTTCCCCCCCAGGGCCCATCGCCCCCCCTCTCAAAACTTGCCCACGACGGGCTCGAAGTTCAGGATGATGCGCCTCCTCGCTCAGTCCACGGAGCCTTCAGGCGTCAGGGGGGCTTCTCGAGCATGCGGCCAAAGGTGGACTGCCATTCCGCCTCCATGCCGAAACGCTCACTGAAGCCCTTGATGCGCCTCGTGGCTTCGGACCTGTCCTTGCCAATCGCCTCGATGCAGATGCTTGCCATGGCATCAAAGTCCGCCTGAGTAGCGGGACAGCCACTCGCGTCGACCGCGGGCGACGCCATCTCCGCGGCGCCCTCGTCGTCCGTATTGGGGCTGACGGCGCTGCCCAGCAGCGGGAAGGGCGGGATCTCCGCGAACTCAAAATCGTCGTCTTCCTTCAGCTCACCTGCAGCCTTGCCGCCAATGCGACTGGGCTGTGGCAGTACTTCGCCAGCAGCCTCGCCGCCGATGCGACTGGGCTGTGGCAAGTGGATGGTCCGCCTCTAGATGGAGAGGGCAAAGTCCAGCACATCGCGGGTGTACCGAACCTCGCCTATGCCCATCTTCAGCTCGGACCCCGAAGCCTCTGCAGCCCCCGCAGCTGCTCCAGCTCCTTCTCCGTCTTGTTTACATCCTCGCTGGCCTGGCTGTGCAGCGTCTGCAGCCTGCCCATGGACTCGGCCGAGCGGGGAGCCTTCATGAGCGGGCCGAGGTACTGGATCAGCTCGGTCAGTTGGTCCTTCTTTGCAGTGGCCTTGTCGATCAGGGCCTGGAGGCTGGAACCAGCCTGAGCGGTCGATTCCAATGGCCCCTCTCGCGCAGGATTGGCCTCCTTCTGCTTCTGGGTCTCCTTGATCTTGTCTTTGTTCGCCTTCTTCAGCCTGGTCAACGAGCTCGTCCACTGGTTGCGTCTCGTCACCGTCGTCGCTGGAGAGGTTGAAGAACTGGAAGCTGCCGATGCCTGCTGCCTGCGAGTGTCCCGCATCTTGATGAACTCCTCCCTGTTCTGGCTGATGACCTTGCGCTTCTCCACTTGGGCGGCTGCGCGCTGGGCCTCCTGCTTCAGGAGGGTTTCCGGCGGAGCTGACCTCTTGCAGAAAGGGCAGCTCGAGCGGAAACCGAAGTTCATCACCTTCCGCTTGAGCGAGTCCGAGCATGGCGTGCACTCCCAAGGTGGCACACGCTGACCACTCGGCACCGGCTCCGCGTTCTTGCTGCCCTCTAGGTGCTTGTGGGTGCTGGCCTCGACTCGCTTCCGACGGCGCCAGCCCGTGGCCAGCTCCTTCTTATTGGCTTTGGCCTTCGCGGCGAGCTGCTTCTTCACAGGTCTCGCCTTTGCTTTGGCCTTCACCCAGGGCCTGAGCGGTCGACGCGGAGACGGCGGCTTCACCAGCCACTGGTCCCCGACTTTGACCTTCCGCGGCGGCGAGAGCCAGCTGGACATGGGGGTCCACCTGCCTTCCATCCTGTCCAGCCGGCCCGTCCTCGATGATCAGTTCGAAATCACCAAGGCTGTCTCTCCGCTCCGTGAGTAGTCGCCTGTCTATCAGGTGTACTGGAAGCCTCACTTTCATGCCGCCATCGCCATCGGCTCCGACGCGCTGCGCCGCTCCGAATCGCGCGCGCCGACACTGGGGTGCAACCACCTCCAGCCGAAACGGCTAGGAGGAGGAGGAGGAGAAGGAGGAGGAGGAGGAGGACTAGGATGGGGAGGAGGAGGAGGAGGAGGAGGTGGAGGATGAGGAGGAGGCAGATGAGGATAAGGATGAGGATGATGATCAGGAGGAGGAGGAGGAGGAGGAGGAGGAGGCGGTGGGCATAGGAGGAGGAGGAGGACGAGGAGGAGGAGGTGTGCATAGGAGGAAGAGGAGGAGGAGGAGGAGGAGCAGGAGCAGGAGCAATGGGCATAGGAGGAGGAAGAGGCGGCGGAGGAGGAGGCGGATGCGGAGGAGGGTGGGATGATGAGGCGCGCGCGATGCTCCCCCGCTTCGTCCGCCACCGGCAGCCGTAGCCAGCGCGGACTGGCGCCTCCGTTCCTCCTCCCGTGGGGCGAACTTGAGCGTCGTGGCAGTAGCTTCCCAGTGGTGCAGCAAAATCCTACTTGGGCCCAGTGGTGAGCAACTGCGGATGGGGCGGCAGGCCCGTGCGGTACAGGAACGGTAAGATGCAAATGAGAGGCGGAATGTTTTGAAAGGGCGCAGAGAGTATAGTCGGACTTGATTTGGAGAGGACACGCGAGAGTACAAAAGACCCTTTTCCGAGGGGCACACTGCCATAGGAATGTAGGAGGCATGGGTCGCGAGACACAGGACACAAGGGTACCCTTGACTTGGCAGGGTCGACCTACTAATCTGGGCCGACTGTAACGGTACTCACACCGCCAGGTGGAGCGGCATTATTCCTCCCTCTCCTCTTTCCTTTCCTCTTCCCCTCTTCTCTTGCCTGGGAGGGCGGACGGGGTTAGGGTCAGCTCGGGCGTGTCCCCCTACAGGGGGATTTTGGGCGAAGACTTAGACAGACTCAAAAGATACCCCCCAAATGCCCCCAGAATAGTCAAGACATCGTCCCCATGCAGTCGGGGTGGATTGAAGAGGACACGCGAGAGGACACAAGACTCTTCTGAGGGCCACAATGTCACATGAATGTAGACGCATGGGTCGCGAGGCACAGGACACAAAGGGTACCCTTGCTTTGGCAGGCTCGGCCTACTAATCCGCCTCGACTGTATCATTTTCTGCGTATCTTTGAATCTTCCTCCTGTGGAGGCGCAGGCACGACTTCAGGTCAGGGCGGCTGCGGCGGCGGCGTGCAGTTTGGGGCCCCGTGCCGCCCAAGCCACGGCGCGGCCCCGCCCGCGCGCCATGGCGCGCCGCGGGGGGCGGCGCGCCGCGGGGCGGCGCTCGCGGCTGCAGACTGACGCCGGTGCCGATGTTTCCGATTCAGCGGTTACGAAAGGGGACCCAGGGACAAACAAATACAGACAACCACATCCCAGCGTTCCACCTCCACCTCCTCCTCTTCCTTCCCCTCCTCATTCTCATCCCTCTCTCAGGCAGGATAAGCCGCAGCGAGAGGAGACAACAGACGAGAAGAAATCTACCGACGCACCCCTTCCTCCTCGTCCTGCCACTCCTCCTCCTGGCCCTGCACCCCCTCCTCCCTGTCATCTTCGTCGTCTTCAGGGTCGGCGGCACCAGCCGTAAGGCCGTCGCAATACATACATACAGATCCCAACATTCCATCTCTTTTTCACATCTTCTTCAATTTCGTCTCCCCCCACCTCCCATGTGTCCTAGATCTTCCCGGGAATCGATGATGAGTTGTGTCCGTGTGTTTTTTCCTCTCCTGAGATGACCTGATGACCTCGAAGCTGCTCGGTCGGAAGTAGGTAAAACATGCAGTAGGAAGGCGGTGAAATAGGTTGGGTCCAGGCCGTCCCAGGAGCACACAAAACACAACAGACGCATATTGATTCTTGAGGCAGGACGCTACAAGTAGAGTGGGATCTGGGAAGCCAGAAATACCGAATTACTTTCAATAGGCGGTGCGCCTGGGGGGAAAATGAAAAGGGGCGGGCCTTCTCAGAAGGCTCGGAAGTCCACCAGCCTTCTGAGAAACTTTCTGAGCCTTCCCCGCAGACACAGAAAACCTCTCGAGAAGTCCGACCGCCTCCTGAGAAGTCCTTCTCCTTCTCACTTCCCCCCTTCGCTCGCCGCCGCTTCAACGACCGACGCGTGTAGAAGAAGAAAACGACAGAAACACAAACTTTTGGCGTTCCGCGCGGATTTCTCGGATCTGCGCTGGACCCCCTCCCTGGCGCGCGCCAGGGGCGGCGCTGGAGGCGTTGCCGGGGGGGGGCCCAACGCAGATCCAAGAAATCCGCGCGGAGCGCCAAAAGTTTGTGTTTATGGCGCTTTCTCTCTTCTTCGAACAAACAATGTTTACCTCGGCCTCGGCCTGTCGACGGGCTGATTCACTGCCGCAGCAGGCCTGGCGAAAGGAAAACAAGAGAGGCCAGCAACGGACCCCCTGGACGACGGGAGTGGGGCAAGGCGTGGGGAAACGGGGGAGGAAACTGTGCACCGTCCCTGCCCGGCTGCACATCGGCATCCAACCCGTCCACCCGCAGCGCCAGCGACCGGCTCGTGGAACCCGCAGCACTCTGGTGAGGCCTTGCGGAGTCAGGACGTGTTTCTGTCGGCAGCGAAGCTCCAGATGCGCTGCTTCAATGCTCGGCCGGCTATCTGTGAGGGGCCAAAGCCGTGCTAATGGCGATGTTGGTTAACGGCAGTGTTGGGATTCTGGTTTTATTTTTTTGTGACACCGAGCTCACGCAGAACAAATGTAGGAAATCACGAAACACCGTTTCCTACATTTCTGGGCCGGAGTCGGCACTGCCATCGGTGAGCCATTTTCGCGCACGCAGCGGCGGGTTTTTTGGGCAGCCGACGAAGCGTGTGTGGGGGGGGAGCGTCGAACATCCATCAGGATTTCGGGCCGCGTCAGAAGTGATGGAGGTTTGGACACTCCCCAAACAGTGCGTGCACACAAGGAATTCCCACTTGCGATTTAGGTCGCTGTCCTGGTGTTCCGAGCTCGGGTCGTAGTCGCCATGCGTCTCCCGTCGTAAGTGGCATGGCGTTCCCATTGCAGATGCCATCGAATTTCGCACTCATGGGGCTCCACACTCTTGGGATTCCATACCCGTGGGTTTCACACGCATGCCAATGGCTCAACACGGACGGGGCTCTTCAGGCAAAGGTTCGACGCACATAGCGTTCCACACTTGTTGCAGGAACCAGCTGTTTTGGGTTCGCGCGCAAGCAGCATGTAATTCCCACCAACCCTGGGCGTGTGTCGACTAGAACGCTACCCATTCCAATCCTTTAGTTCCAATTTGGGGAGGAATTCCCCCCTCCCCTTAATCCCACGTCGCATCATTTCCCTCCTGCCAGCAGTGCCCCCCTCTGGTCAGCCGTGGCAAGAAGGACGAGGCGCAGTTCAGATCACACTGAAATGACCGCACAGGCGCCGCTACCCGCCTTCACCAGCATGGCCGGGCTGAGACTGAGGCCGTGCTACACCCAACATCGGGAGACCCGTCGATACAGGTTTCGCAACGTCCACCCCAAGCCCCAGAGCCCGCGGTTCCAGAAAAATCGGCAGGTTGCACCCCGCCCAACTTGCGAAATAACTGCCGTGTACAGTGTGCCCCGAGGGGGCTCGGCACTGACACCATGAAAACAGGTGCCAGGCATCCCCCTGGGAGGAAGGAGGAGGAGGAGGAGGAGGAGGAGGACGGAGAGGAGGAGAAGGAGGAGGAGGGGGAGGAGGAGGAGGAGGAGGAGGAGGAGGAGGAGGGGGAGGAGGAGAAGGAGGAGGAGGAGGAGGAGGAGGAGGAGGAGAGGGCCACTTGCCGTCGCTAGGACGTCCATTTCCCGTACATGTGTCGGTTTCGTGCGTGTATTTTCTGCCCGACGGTCATCGATGGCCCTCGCCGAAAAAATGCACACCTCCGAGCGATGACATGGCCAGTGCAGACCCAAGACTCATCAACGATGTTGGAGTGCACCTTCCCCTACAAGCCCCCTCGTCACAGGCCCCAGCGGTGCACTTCCACGGAAAGAAAAGCAACGTTTTCGGGGACAATCGTGCGAGAATCCTGGCGCGTGCCAGAACACCCTTGTCAGGACTTCAACGCCACGAGTCAACCTGACTGTTGCGTCTTGGCGATTCTGAGTCTTGCCAGAACGCCATTCCTGGGACTTCGACACTGCGAATCAACGGAACTGCTGCGCCCTGACAATCCTGAACCGTTCCGGAACAGCGTATCTGGAATGGCATGGCAATCGCCCAAACTCTTGCATCCATGAGAAGCAAATTTTCGTGGCGCTAAGGCGGGAACCACATTGTGAAGAAAGACGACCTGTTCTCAATGTTTGAGAACGAACGTGCGCTGCGCTGAAGCGAGAACCACATTTTGAAAACGACCTGTCCGAAATACATGGGACGCCTGCAATGTTTAACACGAGTGTGCGCAGCGCAGGGACGAGAGCCACATGTTGAAAACAATCCGCCTTCCATATGAAAAGCTCTTGTCAGCTTTTCAGCTTCAGGCTCATGATGGTGAGGAAGTCTCAGGCGAAACCTGACCCGCCCTTCCGACTGGCCTCGGGGTGCAACAGGGAGAAGCTATTCATAAGAAGAAGGAATGGAGGAGGAGGAGGAGGAGGAGGACGAGGAGGAAGAGGAGGAGGAGGAGGACGAGGAGAAGAGAGGCAGTCGTCGTCGTCGTCGTCGGCCTCGTGACCGTTCCAGGACGGAGACCTTCGGCGGGCCGAGCCTCTCTATCGACCCAGGGCTGCAAGCACGCTCTCCCGAGGGCCAAGCACGAGGACTGAACGGGACGAGGATGAGGATAAGGATGAGGAGGTGGTGGAGGATGGATGGTGGAGAATGGTCGGGGATGGACAGATCCCCCTTTAGTAAAACGTGGTCTAATGAAAACGACCTGAGGCCCAAACCCGGCGGGCGCAAGCCTGGAAAATAACGGCCACTGCGCCATCTCGAGAACCGAAAACGGACAATTCACTAATCGACGTGTCACTGTTGGGGTTCTGTCCACCCCCGAAGTGGGGGGGGGGTCGAGGATGGATAGAGGTCGGAGGCTGGAAGAAGAACATTAATGACAGACCGCCCCTAGACATACGCTGGTCGCCGGTCCGTGCCCTCGTGTGGTCATTAACGAGTTTCCGTCCCGTCGGTTCTATTGCCGCGGGAATAGGTGCTCGCTCTACCAAGAGCTCGGGCACCACATTTGAGGTGGCCAACGCTCATCATGCACGCTCATCATGCACGTCGCGCCTCCGCGCGCACGAGTCGGAATACCTTACGCAACGTGTCCGCCATCCGCCTCTCCGCGGTTAACCTCCCTGCGTCCCCAACCGATCCTGGCTTCTGCATCATTCGATTGCGCACATGGCCCGAAACATCTGCGCGGTGGTGGGGTACAACCACGTGTACAAACTTCAGGACACTTTCTCCTCGGGACCTGTCTCCTTCACTCGTAGCCCCCTCCCCCGAACAAGCCGTGCGGCGCTACGGCTGGCCCCGGCGCCGATGCATCGGCGCAGCCGGCATGCAGAACATCGGGCTCCGCATCGAGCCGATTCGCCGATGCATCGGCGCTGCGGTGCGACCATCCGACCCCGCCTGCTCTGCTCCAATCCCCAGACATCAAGCGTCTCGATGTTTTCGAGACGCGGACTCCCAACCTCTCGACCACTTCCCCAAGACCGGTGTTTCATCCCAAGGCTCGGTAAGGGCCCCGAGAAGCCGGCAACGACGAAACACTTCCGTCCCGATATTATCGAAAGGCCGGATCTCTGGGTCCATCTATTCCGACCCCATCTGGGAAACCAAATATCTACGGAGTCCCCCGCAGTCCCGGTGTTCGTCGCGAGACATTTTGCGTGAAGGGGGCCCAGGGACACACAAAGAAGTAAGCACCCATAAAAACAGGTTCCCCCCACACTTTCCCATATTTTTTTGGGGGGTGCTTGTCCCCCCCCCCCCCCCCCCTCCCAGATTTTCTCAGATCTTCTGTGGCATCGACGATGACTTGTGTCTCACATTTTTGGGGGGGGTTCTTGTCTCCCCCCCCCCACATTTTCCTACATTTTTTGGGGGGGTTCTTGTCTCCCCGCCCCACTTCCCAGCTTTGCCCAGAGCTTCTGTGGCACCGACGAGGACTTGTGTCTCTTGCGTGGTCTGCACATGTGGAGCCGGGCGAGAGGAGCCCCGGGGAGGCCGCGGGCGGCCAGGACCCCCCCCCCAGGAGGAGGAGGAGGAGGAGGAGGAGGAGGAGGAGGAGGAGGAGGAGGAGGAGGAGGAGGAGGGAGGAGGAGGAGGAGGAGGAGGAGGAGGAGGAGGGAGAGGAGGAGGAGGGAGGAGGAGGAGGGAGAAGGAGGAGGAGGAGGGAGGAGAAGGAGGAGGAGGAGGAGGGCCTACAATCAGGTCGGGCGTGTCCCCCCACAGGGGGGTTTTGCTCGAAAAATCGCCAAAGCAGACCCCAACAAGGCAGGAAGCAATACGCATAATGAATTGTGCCTGAACAGGGGGCCACCTGCGAACCCTACCCCTGCCCCCCTCGGTTTCTGAGGGGGAGGGTGGGGTTCACTTCATTTGGGAGCTCCCGAACGCAGTGACCCTCCCTCTCAGAAATCGTGGGGGGTAGGGGCAGGGTTCGCAGGTGGCCCCCTGCTAAAATTAGGTCGGGCGTGTCCCCCCACAGGGGGGGTTCGGACGAAACAAACAAAAACTAGCCAAACCATACTCGAAAAAAGGTAGAAAGCAATACGCACAACATCGTGCCCAAACTATTTTTGTCTAGTTTTGGTGATTCCCCTTGTAGAGGGACAGGCCAGACTTCAGCCGAAAATCGAGCAACAACAAATGCATAAGCACGGCTTCTCTGATGTCGGGTCTGTCCCCCTACAGGGGGATGTTGGGCGCAAATCTAAAAACAAATGCACACATCAATACTCCTGAGCAGTCAAACAATAACTAAAACATCTTCCCCTGACTATGTTCCGACTAGTTTTGAATACTCCTCCCGCAGAGGCACAGGCCCGACTTCAGCCTAAAAAAGAGCAGCAACGAATGCATACACACGGCCTCTCGGAGGCCCGCGCGGATGTTCCTTGGATCGGCGCTGGGCCGCCTGGGAACCGACGTCCTGGTGCCCCAGCGGGCGGTGGATGTGGATATATTTCGGCCCCCGGGGGCCTATGCATATCCACCGCCTGCCGAGGCTCCGAAAACGGACCCTCCACGCGGTGGTCATGTATACATTCCCGCCTCGGAACTTCTGCTCCCTCGATCGAGATACTACGAATAAGTCTGGCCTGTCCCTCTACAGGAGGAATGCTCCAAAACAGTTCAAAAAATAGTGTAGGGACGATTTGTGGACTGTGTTGCAGCATGTCTGTAATATGCTTGGGGTATTTTGATTTGTTCGCCCAGGATCCCCCTGTAGGGAGACACGCCCGACCTAATACTACGAGGACGAGCACGAGGAGGAGGGAAGATTAGCAGGAGGACAATAATGGGTTCTAAAAAACCGGGGTGGGTGGGGGGTCGAGGATGCATCACACGACTCCAGGGGCCCAAGGACACACCAACTATCCCAGTGCGACACTACCTAGGAGTTGGAGCCTCTGGGAAAGCAGCATTAGTAGGAGCGGTAAACGCCGTCCTCCTCCGTCCCCTCATCGTCGTAGTTGTAGCAGTAGCAGTAGCGGTAGTAATAGCATGCTGTGCCATGCTATGCTATGCTATGCTATGCTATGCTATGTTATGCTATGCTATGCTATGCTGCGCAATGCTATGCTGGGCTAGGCTAGGCTAGGCTAGGCTATGCTATGCTATACTGCGCTATGTTATGCTGCGCTATGCTATGCTATGCTATGCTATGCTATGCAATGCTATGCTAATTATGCTATGCTGTTGCTTTGCCTTCGCTGTTGCCTTTGCTTTTGCTTTTGCTTGGCACCCAGGGAGCACAACTGGGGGAACCGCGCGTTTGCTTCTACCTTTGCTGTTGCTTTTGCTGGGCTTCCAGGGGACAAGGGGAACCGCCAGGGGCGGGTTCCACTGCCCGGCCCTTTAAGCCAAGCGAGTAAGAACCCTTCTAGGCAAAACCTAGCTAAGGAATAAATGCACACAAATCCCTGGACTTCCCACATGTTTCCAAATGTTCTGGATCTTCGTCTTCCCCCCCCTTCCCATATCGTCCCACATTTCTGGAGAATCGACGATCACAGAAGATGCAAACACGCCATAAACATAAACTTTTGGTGATCCGCGCGGGTTTCTTGGATCTGCGCTGGAACCCCCTCCCTGGCGCGCGGAGCGCAGGGGCGGCGCCACAGGCGCCGCCGGGATCCCCGGCGCGCAGACAAGAAATCCCACGGAGCGCCAAACATTTATGTTTATACCGTGTTTTCTTATTCGAGGTAAACTTTGTCTGTGTGCTTTCCCTTCCTGAACTTGGGGAACCAAAGAAAACGATACCGCTGTTCCCCAGACCCCTTCAGGGGGGCCTTCTGACCAGACTCTCGAGGCGAAGCCAGCGCTGGCACCTCTTCCTCTGCGAGGCGGGGAGTTCTCCATGTCCACCGCCTGGGAACTGACGTCCTGGTGCCCCAGCGGGCGGTGGACATGGATCTATGTTGGCTCCGGGGGCCCGAATGTGTTCATGTCCGCCGCCTGCCGAGGTCCCCGAAAATGGATCTTCCAGGCGGTGGTCATGTGTAAAGTCCTGCCTCGGAGCCTCCTCCCGTGACTTTCCCCTCAAGACCTTGCAAGATCCTGCAGGATCCTGCACCCAAATCTGGGTCAATGCGAAGGATCCTGCAAGATCCTGCAGGATCCTACGCGACCCTGCTCTTGCAGGCCCCTGCAAGATCGGGCGCTCTGGCTGACCCCCGTTTGCAATGACCCCTGTCTCAAGGCTCTCGACTAGACGAGCGCGTTCCACTACTCGCAAAGTGACTACTCGCAACTGGCCTGGATCCGCCGCGGGGAATCTACGACACATTACATCGAGGCAGACGTGTGTTTTTCGGACGTCTACGAGTAGGCACTCTGCGAGTAGTGGAACGCGCTCGGCGATCGACCCCTCCCGCACCACGTGCGGCAAGCCCCTCACGCCGGCGAGGCCAGGCCGCCTTCCAGCAGCCCGATGCACTGCCGATGCATCGGCGATGCATCGGCAATGCATCGGCGACGCATCGGTGATGCATCGGCGACGCTGGCGTGGGGAAACACGGTCTCCACGTCGAGCCGCACCGTCGATGCATCGGCGATGTGGCGCGATCCTCCGACCCCATCTACTCGGACCCCATCTATAGGGGAACAGAAAGTGACATAAACATAAGAACTCGGAGGTCCGCGCGGATTTCTCGGATCGGCGCTGGGGCCCCCCGGCGGCGCCTCCGGCGCCGCCCCTGGCGCGCTCCGCGCGCCAGGGAGGGGGGTCCAGCGCCGATCCGAGAAGCCCGCGCGGACCTCCGAGCTTCTATGTTTATGCCACTTTCTGTCCCCCTACTCTAAGAGGCCCAGACTCACGCCAGCGACAAAGATAACAACGATAACAACGACAACGATAACGACAACGATAACGACAACGATAACAACGACAACGATAACAACGACAACGATAACGACAACGATAACAACGACAACGAACAACGATAACGACAACGATAACAACGACAACGATAACAACTCACGCCCAGCGAGGCCAGACTCACGCCCTACTCTAAAGAGGCCCAGACTCACGCCAGCGAGGCCAGGCCGTCCTCCAGCAGCCCGACGTGCTCCGCGGCGCGGCCCGCGCGGCGGGCGCGAGCCCGCAGGACGCCGCCCGCGGCGGCCGCGGCGGCCGCGGCCGCGGCGGCGGCCGCCAGGCAGCGGCCCAGCGCCGAGGTCGCCCCCACGTGGGGCACCTGCCGGAGGGACCATCCACCGGCCCACCCCAACCCCAACCCGACGAGTCGAGCTGCTGATTGGATTGGGGGGGGGATCTGGGAAGGAGCTGGAGGAGGGAGGAGGAGGAGGAGGAGGAGGAGGAGGAGGAGGAGAAGGAAGAGGAGGAGGATGGAGGAGGAGGAAGATGAGGAGGAGGAGAAGGAAAAGGAGGGAGGAGGAGGCGGAGGAGAAGGAGGAGGAAGAAGGGTCACCAAAGCCCTTCGGAGAAATCTTCTAGGCCACCTTCAAAAACGGACTCCTGCGGCAAGCGGGCTCGACGGATGAACCGTCCGGACCTGTCCGTGCGGGCCGCCCGCTGTCCCGCTCCACGCCCACTGGCGAGGAGATGTGCGCCCACTTTCCCGCGACTGCCCTTCGCGATTCACGCTTTGGTAGAGGGCAGAAAAAACAATAATAAACACCCAGACGCGCGAAGCCGTGTAGTAAACGCACCCGAGGAAGGAATCAAACAAGGCAACGCTGTTTAATCAACGCCCAGGGCCGCTTAGTAAACGCCCATTGTCCGGTCAGGGTAGTTTTTCCTTTCTTGATTTGTGGCACACGTCCCCTGGTACCCCAAAGCTCGTTGAATTCGTGATATGGGCCCTGTGGCCTCTTAGACCCCTCCCCGGGGCCAGATTCTCATCCGTCTGTCTGCTTTCTTCTCTTCTGCTCCAAGGCACGGAACTGGCATTAGGTCGGGCATGTCCCCTACAGGAGGATTTAGGACGAAAAATAAAAAATACTCAAATAAACTCCCAGCATGCTCAAAAATAGTAACAACAAATCGTCCTCCTATTCTTTTTGACTATTCTTGAAGATCCCTCCTGTGGAGGGACAGGCCCGACTGAAAGCTGGCATCCTAAGACAGCGAAGCCCGCCCGTCTCGACGCTTTCCAGCCGCCGGAGGTCTGGGTTCGCCCACGCCCCTGGCCACCATCTCGAACTTGCGGACGTTGGCCTCGGGTGCGGGCAATACTTCTGTCTATATCCAGTGCAGTATGGAGTTTCGGGCTCCCTTCCCAAGACACCCGAGGCGCACTGGATATGGATAAATTTGCCCCCTAGAGGCTCGATTTTTATCCACATCCAGTGCGCCTCGGCCTTGTGCCGCCGCTTCCCAAAAAGTCCAAAAGGCACTGGATATGGACATGAATCTTGTCCGCCTCGGGGGCGGCCACAACGCGGCAGCCCCGCGGACCCCCTCCACGCCTGGCCTCGCGCGCCTCGACGCGACGTCGCCTCGCCCCCCTGCCAGGGCGGCGCCGACGTCGGCCTCGGGGCCACGGCCAGCAGCGGCTTCGCGGCGACGACAGGGGCCACTAGCCCAGGGGCGGGCATGACACGCATTCGCCCGGGATCCTCGTCGAAGACATAGACATGGATCATCGGCGCCACTGGATATCCAATTTTGCTCTCCCCTGAGCTATTCGCCCCTAGTCGCCTCTGAGTGGCGAGGAGGGTTTGAGCAGGGACCGACCGTCCCGGCATTTCTATAGTCCTACCACGACATGTTTTTCGAACCCCCAAATGTTCAAAGAACAGAAACAATTTTCTTAGAACATGTTCCCGATTTGTTAAAACAAGACAGTCCCAGCCAGAAATGTTCTAAGAACATTTCCTGGACATGTTCTAAGAACATTTCCTGGAAACCACAAAAAGTTCTCAGAACACTGTTTGGTAGGGATAATGCGAGCCGGGACGCTTCGCCACTGCTCGATGAGTGGCGAGGAGGGTGCTCCCCGGGGGGGGGGGGCCGAGGGCCGCTGCCCGGCGCAAGGTGCTGCGCCTTTGCGCCGCTGCCGAGCATGGGCGCCTCTTGCGGCACAGGCCGCGCGGCGCGAGTCCCGCGGCGCCTCCGTCGGCGACCTGGACATGTCACTGCACCGACCCTGCAGAAGTGCTGCAGCGCATCTTATCCTGGGTTCCTGCCACTGCAAAACCCTGAAGAGGCGAGTGAAAAACGGCGTGAGTGTCGCGCGGATTTTGTTTAGTCCTCATTTTCCTGGCCCCGAACAGTCCGCACGAAATGCACCTTGAAATCCGGGGTGAACTTCTCCAGGACACTCCGGGCCCATCCTGTCGCTTCCCGAACGATATCCGCTCTGCGATGCTGGCGCCATGAACCGATTAGGGGAAACAGTCGCGACGCCCCGGGCGCGACAGAGAAGGCAACATGGCTCATGGCGCAGCGCCGCGCCGAGCTTGTGGGCGATTTTCTGTTCGGCGTTTCGATAGTGGGCAACAAAAGGAGGGGGGCGGGTTCTGGCTCTGGACCTCTGCTTTTTCTGCGGCTGTTTGGAACCGTGCGTCCGACGAAGGGAGGCTCCACCTGCTCGAAACAGGCGCCACAAAACAGCCAAGATCTACACCATGGGGGGGGGAGGGGGGTTGGGGGGCCTGCGCCGATCGGCAAAACAACTAGTAAAAACGATCACGGATGCAACATTTTTCGTGTCGGAATGTCGCGCCAAACTTTTGTATTCCGCAGACGGTGCCGGTACTTCGGAGTTCTTATTTCGTTGCCTGAGGGGGCTGAGCCCGACCGTCGGTTCTGGCGGCTGTGTTGCCGCCAACTCCGCAACGACGTCGCCTGGTCCGACCGTCGGTCTGGCGGCTATGGCGCCACCGCAGATATCCGCCTTTCGAATAAGGAATTCGGACCCAACCCCAGGGTCAATCGGCACTCCCTGGGATACTACGAACTAGATCTGAATCCGCTCCACCGTTCATTGTTGGAGCGAACTCATACCATCCCAACTCGACCCCTTTGATCGCCCCCTCATATCCTGCAAATCCGCCGGCCCTGTCGGCGTGTGTGAGGGGCTTGACTGTTCGAGTCTTCGTCATCGTCATTCGTTAGTCATCGTCTCTGTCGTCCCCTTTCCCTGCGCCCACCCTTTCCCTGGGCCCGTCGCCGCTGCCCCGTCGCCGCTCCCCCCCCTTTTCCTAAACCGTCCTCCTCAAGCGCGCCAGCCAAAGCGAAAATGAGCAACGTCGTAATTGACTCGAAAGCAACCCCCTTCCATTGATCCCCCCCCAACCGGGAGGGGAGGGGTCCTGGGAGGGTCCCGGGTCAGATACGACTCTCAAAAACGACTCCCCCCCGGGGGTCCTGGGGACCAGAAATTATGCGAATGGAGTTCCCTGCGTAAGGATGTTACGGCGTTGGCGGGGTCACGGCGGCATACAAGCGCCAAACAATGAAAGCCTCGGATGTCCTTATATTGTCATGGAAAGGCCGACGGAGGCGAGGGGGGGAAACGACATGGGGGTGAGGATGGATGTATCGGACGCGGTCAAAGGAGGCCGCGCTCGGCCGCACTTCGGGCGAACAAGAGCAGGAACGCAGGGAACCCCGAAAGGCCCCCAACAGGCCCCACGAGGCGCCCAAGGGGTCGCCACGATGCCTCAAGAGACCCAACAGGGGCCCCAAGAACAACAGACCCCCAGAGAATTCAAAACTGCCTCCGGGAGGCCCGGCCCCCGAGAGGCCTCCACGATATTCCAACGACCCCCAAAAAAAAACCCGACCCAAGATCCAGGCATTGTGGCGGGGCTGGCCGAAGGCCATTCGATATATGGTCCCCCGCCGAATGCAACCAATCGGTTTCACCACATGGACTGCGCCGCATCTAGTGCATATATAGTGCGCAACATATAGTGCCCCCGAAAACGGCACCACAAAGGTCACACGCACCGCACCGATTACACACCATATATTGCAAAACCGACTTTGCACAACATTGGTTGCACCAGTTATGTAGTGCACCACGTCGGTTGCCCCACCTATATTGCGCAACGTAAATTCCAAAACGGGCAACGCGCCACGTATATGGCTCCACGTGAATTGCAGAGCACATGCTGCGCCGCATCCGTGGCGCCACGTAGACTGATCCACGCACATGGCACCACGTATTCTACCCCGCATGGATTGCGCCGCGTAGAATGCAGAACTGATGTTGTACCACATAGATTGAGCCACATAGATTCTCCGATCTGCATGAAAAATACCCCCCCCCCTCTCCCCGTAATTAGAATTACCGGGCCACCTTTTTCGTATCGCGCCGTGCGTGTGATTCTGCCCCATCGCCCATCCTGGATATGAATTCGTACTATCCCAGCCAGGCCCGCATCGCCATCCCCCGACATCCGCTGCAAAAAATTGGTACGCGCGCGCATTCTTTATCACGAAACATGCGTTTCAAAGACTCCCTTGGCGCAAAACAAATCACAAAATCATCGCGCGCGCGTCCATGTCCAAGTCGTGCCGACGCACAATTTGTTTGCAAACGTCCCTGCGTAGAAAACTGGGGAAAAAAGTTTCGCAACGCTTGCGTTGCAAATGACCTGCCTGCGCGCTCACGCTAAAATCAAACCGCAGACATGGGATTTTAATAAATTCTGCCAAATCCAGCGATGTCATGTCACCGCGCAGTGCGCCCGCGATATTTTTGTCATGTGCCGAGGGCGGGACTCTTTTGCAAAAAGCACCGCGGGCCACGTGCGCGCACCGCCGCGCGCGCGGATTTCCTTCAACCTCATCAGCATCACCGCGATCACTTGCTTCATTGACAGATGGACATCAACATCGTTAACGTGTTTGCCATCATTGGCGCCGTTACCGTTCGTGCCGTTGCCCTCTTGAACATCGTCGTCGCTGGTACCATCTTCGTCATTGTCGCAGACGTTGCCAACGTCATCTTGTCATCGCGCACGTCCGAATATCGTCGATATGCTCACCTTCATCACCGGCGAACGTTGACGAGCATCGGCGCTGAGGGTGTTATCATCGATGTCGTCATCGGTGGCGCCGCAGTCCCCAGCATCATGGAATTTCCCAAACAAGTTGCGGGTGGGAGGGTGGGATGCTTGCGCGAGCACTGGAAGTGGTCAAGCGCGGTGCAGGGTAGTTACTTGCACCACATAGATTGCGCCCCATGCGTTGCACCACGCGGATTGCACCGCTTAGGTTGCACCACATATATTGCACAACGCGTGTTGCACCACAGTTGTTGTTCCGCATCAGTTGCACCGCGCGGATCGCGCCACACCGATTGCCCAACACACATTGCACGATATCGTTTGCACTACGCAGGTTGCATCTCATGTGTTGCTCCACGTTGCTGTACACCATGTAATGCAGAACGTATATGCATCACCATTAATGGCATCGCGTAGATCGCACCACATAGATGGCACAACGTAGCTTGCAAACCATGTATTGCACAACGTCGATTGCAGTACACAGTAGACGGCTCCCCATATAGCATGCCGACGAGCGCTGACTCTAGCAAGATCAACCAACACAATGTCCCGATAAGTAAGCCACATCTTGCACGAATACGCATTTGTTGCCAACCTAACAGCCAGGGGACCCGATGCCCAGATCTGATGGCGGGTTGTCAGCAACATGTGGATCGTTGGCTACAGTGTCGGGGTCGAAAGCACCTGCTCGTGACACTGCGTTGGGTTCGAACGTTAGAACTCTGCCCCGAACCGGGAGCTTACGACAAAAGTCCTCACTTTGTTTGGTGCACGAAAGGCGGTGCTGCTGCCAACGGTTGTACAGTCGGGGCGTTGACCTAAGGAACCCTAAATAAGGAACGAGGCCCCTTTTTTCCCATACGTTCAACCTCGATTTCCTATGGAAAACCTCAGGAAAACCCGAGGCAAACTTCGAAACAATCAAGGAACACCGAGCCCCTCCCCAACGAAAAGGGTTCCTTCTTCAAGACCCCTACTGTAACTGACGATGTCAGCCGCCGTGCAAACCTGTCCTGCCACCTTGCCACGGCTAAGCCCTGCGGGGAGGCAGGCGCGACGAAGGGCGGTGGTCATGGTCTTGCCGGCCATGGCCGCCCAAGCACGGGGGTCGCCCGCGGGTTCCCCGGTGGCCGCCCGCGGGTTCGCTCGGGGGTCGCTCGGGGGTCGCTCGGGGGTCGCCCGCGGCCGCCGGGAGTCTCACGGGGCGGCCCGGTTTGTCCTATGCGCTGCTATGCCGATGTTGTGCGATACGTGTGCCATTCTGCATCATGGCACGCTGAACTCTGCAATCCTATGGAACCACACGCTGCACTACGCCACGCCACACTGCGCAATCACATACGTGTTCTGCGATGCTTTGCACCACAACGCGCTGCTGAGATGGTTTGGTGTACATTGGCACATGCCGTGCTAATCTGTTCATCCTCTTCAACGCAATCAAACTATACCGTACCATATATGCCACGCGATGCTGTGATGTGCATGACCATGCTACACCATGCCGAACAAGTCATTGCATGTGCAAGCCTTCACCTTGGGACGAGCTCTTTTGATGGAAAACGCCGGTCGAACCTCTGGCCGAACGATTCGCCGCCCCGTTTCTGTCATGATGGGCCTTGACGGACGGGCCCGCTGCGGTACACAGCTTGTTCTCGTGCTGGCAACACCAAGCCTGCTTGAATGCCCAATCGCACTCCTCCTTCTGGTCATCAGACGGCGCGATGTTCGACTCATTAACCCGCTTCTTCAACCGGTCCAAGACGTGCGCCAGAGCCGAGCTCCAATCAACTGAGCCGTTGCCCGCTTCCGGGCATCCAGCAGGCAGCGCCTCGGTCTCGCAGTCGAAGCGCGGCGGGGGGCGCTCTTCGCACCCACCGATCTGGCGACATATCACATCTGTGCAACCCACGCGCTCGTGCGAACAGCACCACACCTTCTTGCCGTTCGACCACGCCGGCTCGGAGTTGCCTGTATTGGCTGGCGATGGGGAGGAACGATTCAAGCGCACGTGCCCCCGGGGCGCTCGGAGCAACCGATCAGCAGAAAGACACGGGGCCAAATGGAAACGGGCTCTGGGACCCAAGTCCTCCCTCGGGTGTGGATTTCCATCTTGATTCGTTTGGAGCGACCCAGGGCCAAGGAAGGGCCCATGGAGGCCGAAAACGGTGGAGGGACAGCAGGTGTTGCACCTCGCGCGGAAGCTGTTTCTGGGTCACGCCTCGGACAGCGAGAGGCCGCCTCGCGGGAGCGAGGGGTGGTGCAGGACATCAAATCTCCCCAAATGATGCACATCCACACTGGGCGGTGGACGGAGGACCCTCCTCCTCGGCTTCCGCTTCTTCCTCCGCTTCCTCTTTGCTCGTCGTCGTCGTCGTCGTCGTCGTCATCGTCATCGTCATCGTCGTCGTCCTCCTCTTCCTCCTCCTCCTCTTCCTGGCGGCACCACTGCGCAGTGCCCGAGGAAAATGCATCTCAACTAGATCGTCTGCCTTCGCGCGTCGCGTCCCAGGACACGCGGTTCTCTTCGCGTCCTCGCGCGGTCCCAATGGGTAGAAGGGCACCTGTGCGGCCCAGGCCGCGCGGCGCGATGATCTGCGCGGCAGCGTGTGCGACCCAGAATGCATCTCATGAGTGGCAAACGCACATGAATGTGAGCGACGATCAGAAATGGGTCGTACGCGAGATGACGCAGCGACCTTACGCCGCGGCTTGCGCGGGCCGCCGGGGCGGCACGCTGCATTGGAGACGAGGGCGCCTACGCGCGGCTTTACGCGGGCAGCTGGCGCGCCAGTGTCGGCGCAGACGCGCCCTTTTTTTTCGTCGCGCATGTGCTCCCCGAGTTGAAATCCCAAGCCTAGACCAACAGAGCAGTTGTACGCCTCGCTGTCCACCTGTGGCACCCGGCAGCCACGCTGCTTGTGCTGACAGCACCAGACCTGCTGCTCCTGGTCCCAAGAATCCTGGAGATACCTATATTGCAGCACCGCGCAGACCAAACATCCCTACGTCTGGGACTTCGCGTTTCCTCCCTTGAGCGATCTTTGACATTCAGAAGCCTCGGCTAGCCCGATCAAAATCCGTCGCCGTTCGATGCGGGACCATCAGACTGATACTCTTAGGCTTCAGCAACTGACCAGCTCAGTTTCATCAACGCAATGAAATTCCAGCCACAACATTCTTTAAAACTCAACAGCTTGGGAACCAATAGTTCCAACTCACCATGTACCGTTCAGGTCACAGAACTGTTCGTTTGGTTTGGTTTTCTCGTTTTGCTCTGTTGCGAATATCAACACTCTCAAACACACATGCAACCTTTTTCGGTTCGAAACGACTCTCTCGCCACGTCCGAACTCAACTCCCTCAACTCCTGGGTGCCTGGCGGTGCGTAAGAACAAATATGGGCCCGCACTCCCGAGACCATCAGCCCTGGTGGAAATCATGAACGGCCTACGAATTTGAAGAAGAAAACTCTGCATGCCAAGGCTGCGCGCTGCCTCCTACTGGTCGTCGCCGGCGTCGCCTTCTCCTCCTCCTCCTCCTCCTCCAACTCTTGGCCCTGTTACTGCTGCGGCCGCTTGTTTGGCCGGCCGGGCGCTCGGCCGGTCGCTCAGCGTATGTCCCTGGAAGAGGACGCACAAGTAGACGCGCCAGTGGGCGCACCAGAGGGCGCGCCAAAGAACGCGCACAGGGACGTGGACGCGTCAGGGGACGTGCCATGGGACGCGCCATGGGACGCGCGCCACGTAACGTGTCAGGGGAAGTTCCTGAAGACCAGCCAAGAGACGCGCCAGGGGACGTGCGAAGTGACGTGCTACGGGACACGCCAGGGGACGTAGCAAGGGGCGCACCATGTGCAGCGCCAAGGGACGCGCAAAAAAAACTTGCCGAAAGACGCGCCATGGGATGCGCCACGGAATGTGTGTCAGGGGACGCGCCAGGAGACGAACCAAGGTGCACGCCGGTGGGCGGGTCGGGGGACGTGCTAGAAGACGTGACGCGTGACGGTCCCGTCAACGTGCCACAGGACGCCACCACGGGATGCCAGCGGACGTGCCAAGGGATGCGCCAGGAGACGCGCCCAAATACACGATATGGGACGCGGCTCCCGCCCGCCTCCTTTAGGAGACCGATTTCTGACCACACCCACTTCCCGAGGTGCCTTGCGAAAAGCGCTTTCCAGAGGTGGAGGTGGGCAGTTTCCCCGCCCAGGGGAAGGAACAACTACCCACTTCCACCCCCGAGGGCCTATCATAGAATCGAGGATCCAGAGGTGGATGTGGTCAGAAATCGGTCTTCGACAACAGGCTTGAGCCACACGCCCGCAGCGGAGGGCGGACGAACGACAGAGCAACGCTGGCAATACAGAGTGGCATCGACCCCCCCGCGTCGGGAAAACCAGGGCAGCCGCGCTTCCGCGCGCGAGCCTTCGGCACGCCGCGCTTCCGCGAGCACGGGCCCAAACATAGCTCCCAATCTCCTTTTTCCAACGTTCGGCTTTTGCGCGGCGCCTAGCCTAGACGAGCGCGTTCCACCACTCGCAGAGCAACTGCTCCCAGATGGCCTGAATCCGCCGCGGGGGATTCACGATACATATTGCACACGTGCAGACGTACGGCTGTTCGGACGTTTGCGAGTAGGCACTTTGCGAGTCAAGGAACGCGCTCTTTGGGCGCCCGAAATGGGTACGGACAAAAGTGGGTACACTGCCCAACAACAAACGCTGTCCCAAACACACAGCGGCCGCTGTTGGGCAGGCGGCCTTCTGTCTCGAACGGACACAGGCCGCGGCGGCGTGGATCGCGAGCCCTGTTTAAAATGGCCAAGCTCCGCTGCTGGGCATTGTACCCATTCTTTCCGTGCCCATTTCTCGGAGAAGGCCCGTTTGAGACACTGGGAGTTTGAAATCGGCTCAAAATCGGTCCCTGGACCCCTCCCGGGGTCCAGGCGCACTCGTTTTTCGCGCTGCGTCCGGCCGTGGCGGCGAGGGGGCCCCCCGAAGGCCAACTGTCGGTGTCTTCAATGGGCCTCCTCTGAATTTCCTTCGTGCAGACGCTCGGCGATGACCCCACCGCAGCGGCGAAGGCCAGGCGGCTCGACGGGCTCCGTGCTCCCTCGACGGGCCTCGGCGGTGCGCCCCTAGCGCCGATCGCTCCCTCGCGCAGTGTGTCCTGTGGGCCTGCCTCCGCGGCTCGCGTCGGGTCGGGCCCGTGCCCCTCCAGGGGGCTCTTGAGCAAAAAATTATGAAGGGGCCCCAGGACACACAAATAAATCCACGCAAATAAAAATATTCCCCAAATTTTCCAATATTTTCTGGGTTTCTGTCGTCCTCCCCACTTCCCATATGTTTCTATATTTTCTGGGGAATCGAGGATTAATTGTGTCTGTGTGTTTCTTTTCCTCCTGAAGTTAAAATAGTCAGAACATACGCAAAAAATGCTCAACCATAGTCAAAAAATAGTCCCCAGACTATTTCTGTACTCTTTTTGAATAATATTCCCCCTGCAGAGGGACAGGCCCGACTCCAGACTCGCGACGACCTCGAGTGCCTTCTGCGCCCGCCGCCGTCGTCCTTGCCTCTCTTGCCCCATTCCTTCTCAGGATCGTCCGATCGCGAAGATTTGCCATGCTCGTCCTTCCGCTGCCCAGACTCGCCTTTCCATTTCCCCGACTCGTCCTTTACCTTCGCGCCGCCCGCTCCCTGAGCTCTAATCGCCGCCGCCGGCGCTGCCCATTTCGCTGGTTCTACTGCGCCTAATTCTCGTCGTTTGTCTCTCGATTCCTGCTGTGGTCGTTGTCCCAGCGGTCGCCGGTTTTAGGCGTTCCTGCCTCCTTTGCCCCCGTCCTTGCTTTTATCGCGGTCCTGTCCCTTAGGCCGGGCCGCCTGGTTTCAAGCAAAAGCATGGTCGAGTCCGACGACATCGCGGTCGGGTGGAGGTGGCAGCTTGGTTCACACTGCCGCTCGGATTCGACGGTCTTCGGTGTTAATGAACATTCTAACATCTAGCGGAGGCACTCCATTTATGCTTTTACGAAGGATCGTTACCACGAACGGGTGAGAGATCCACTCCGCACAATCAGCCAATCAATCAACCAAATCGCCCCTTCCATGCAACCAATCAGAGTGCGGGGCGCCGGCAGAGGATGAAACCAATATAACAATGCCTGCTACACCGCTGTATGGACACGGCAGGGAACCACTACCGAACGGGTGGCTTAGACCCGCCATATGCTTGGATGGAATGCGAGAGTCTCGCAGCAAAGACAAACACAATTGAAATCGGGCTGGGGCAATGACACAATGGAGGAAACGGTGATCAGCGCTTGAAATACATAGGGCCAAATACAGCGACACCGCGCGTTGTGTACCATTCCTGCCTATGCGGGAACGAACGCTTAACATCCGCTGCTTTCACTCCGATTTCCCCGCATCGCACTCCGTGACGGAAACTGGTGTATTCGACGCGGGCGACACCGACGCGGGGATCACGGATGAGTTGGAAGCAAAGTGTATCCGGATGCCAAGGCACGTCCCGAAATACAGCATGAAACGTGTGGCAGTGCGCATGGATGCGAAGGGGTGACGCGGGCGGCAGACCCCTCCCTGGCGGACATTCTTCATCTGCCCCTGCACCACCTAAGGTGGGACAACACTGCAGCTGCGCCACCCTCGAATCCGAAACGCGCTCCTCCCAACTGTCGTATTCGGCGTCGCAATCGTACTGGTCGGAGTTGCCGCTCGCCTCTCCGTCAGAGTTGCCGCTCGCCTCTCCAGGGGGGGGGACCGAGCATGAGCGCGCAGTTTCGCTCTTTCCTGGACCTCCTCAGGAGCTCTTATCGCCATGGATGGGATCGCCTCGAAATCCTGGTCAGAACGCGATCCAACACAGGTTCATGGGCTGACGACAGAAGGTTCAGGTCAGGCATATCCTCCTACAGGCGGCTGGAGGAAAACATAAAAATAATCAAACAATACTCACAACTGATAGGAACATTGAGCAAGGACCGACCGTCCCGGCATTCCTAGTCCTACCACGAAGCGTTCTTAGAACCCCAGAGTGTTCTAAGAACAAAAACGATGTCCTTAGAACATAAGCCCGATGTGTGCCAACAAGACAGACTCCACCAGAAACGATCCAAGAACATCCCGTGGAGACCACAAGAGGTTCTTAAAACATTGCTTGGCAGGGCTACAGGCGAGCCAGGACGCTTCGCCACTGCTTGAAACAAATCGTCCCCAGGCTGTGTTTTGGCTACTCTACAGGGAGGAAGAGGAGGAGGAGGAGGAGGAGGAGGAGGAAGAGGAGGAGGAGGGAGGAGGAGGGAGGAGGAGGGAGGAGGGAGGGAGGGAGGGAGGGAGGGAGGGGAGGGAGGGAGGGAGGGAGGAGGAGGAGGAGGAGGAGGAGGGGGAGGATGAGGGGGAGGCCCTGGCCCAGGGTGTGCCCTGGCGGGAGGACGCGGCAGCCTTCCGCGCCTGCACCGCTCCAGGCCTGGCCTAATCCTGCGCCCAGGCTCGGTTAGTGCACGCCTCTGTCCTGGCTGGGAGTGGAGGACGTAAAAACTTAGGTCGGGCCCGCCCCCCTACAGGGGGATTTTGGTCGAACAATGAAGCATGCACTCAACATACCTAAATCATACTCAGAAGTGCTCAATCAACGTGCCAGACTATGTTTTAAACTATTTTTGAATGTTCCTCCTGTAAAGGGAGAGGCCTGACTTATCGTAAACTGGAGGGGCCCAGGGACAAACCAAAAAATCATTCCACACAATCTGAGTTTTCGTCCTCCTCCAACTTCCCATACTGTCCCAGATCTTCCTGGGGATCGACGTTTGATTGTGTCTGTGTTGTTCCCCTCCTCAGTAAACACCTATCCTGGACCGAGGGTTGGCCTGGCCAAGGTAACGATCCACCGTAGCACCCCGCAAGTGCGGATGAGAGTGATGGTGTGGGCGCGTGGTGGGTCGCGGGTTGTTCGTAGGGTGGGTCGCGGGGTGGGGCGTGTGAGGGATGTTCCGAAGTGGACATGCGGGAAAGCGCATGTGGACCCTGCCATTGGGGCCTTCGGTGGAGCTCCCTATGCGGCCACAAAACGTGGGAGGGATGCACCGAAATCACTGGGGGACGCATGCGTGCGCTTGCACAGGAGCCTTCGTCGGAGCCCCCTGTGGCGGCACGGAACGTGTGAGGGGCTATGAATCATCAAGACAACCCCAGGACAACCATCGGGACAACCTTCGGGACAACCATCGGGACAACCATGAGGACAACCACCAAGACAGCCATCGGGACAGCCATCGGGACAACCATCGGGACAACAATCGGGACAAGCATCGGGACAACCATCGGGACAACCATCGGAACAACCATCGGGACAACCATCGGGACACCCGTCGGGACAACCATCGGGACAACCTCCAAAACAACCGCTGGGACAACCGCCGGGGCAACCTTCGGGACAACAATCCGGACAACCATCGGGACAACTGCCGGGACAACCGCCAGGACAACCCGGGAGCCACGGCCGTCCGACGGGGGGGATGGTGGCCATTTTGGCAGTAGAAGGGCCCTACCAGTGCAGGAACTCGCGCAGCTTCACCTCGCCCGCACGCACGACACGAACCGAAACCGATTCTCGGTTGAGGGGTCACTTCCGTTCACACTCCCCAAACTCCGCTTGTATGCCAGGCGATGCTGTGATGTGCATGGCCATGCTACAACATGCCGAACATTTCATTGCATTTGCAAGCCTTCAGCTTGGGACGAGCTCGCTTGATGGAAAACGCCGATCGAACCTCTGGCCGAACGATTCGCCGCCCCGTTTCTGTCATGACGTGCCTCGACGGACGGGCCCGCTGCGGTACACAGCTTGTTCTCGTGCTGGCAACACCAAGCCTGCTTGAATGCCCAATCGCACTCCTGCTTCTGGTCATCAGACGGCGCGATGCCCGCTTCCGGGCATCCAGCAGGCAGCGCCTCGGTCTCGCAGTCGAAACGCGGCGGGGGGCGCTCTTCGCACCCACCGATCTGGCGACATATCACATCTGTGCAACCCACGTGCTCGTGTAAACAGCACCACACCTTCTTGCCGTTCGACCACGATTGGGTGGCGATGGAGAGGGACGAGGCAGGCGCACCTGCCCACGGGGCGCTCGGAGCAACCGATCAACAGATGGACACAGGTCCTACAGTCAACCCGTATAGTCAGGATGCGCGATAAGGATGCAAGGGCCTTGGACGCCCATTTCGAAGATTTTCGAGCGGGCCGCGGCCAACGAAAGCGGCTAAGGATGGGCCGAGAAGGCAAGGATGCAAGGGTACCCTAGGGAAGGTTGCCCATCCTTACTACGCGGGTTGGCTGTAATGGAGACGGGCTCTGGGACCCAAGTCCTCCCCCGGGTGTGGTTTTCCATCTCGAGTCGGTTGGACCGACCCGGGGCCAAGGAAGGACCCCTTGGAGGCCGCAAACGGTGGAGGGACAGCAAGTGCTGCACCTCGCGCGGAAACTGCTTCTGGGTCACGCCAGCGCTGAACCTGCACGGTGTTTTTCGTTTTCGTTTTGTTTTCGTTTTCCCTCGTTTTGTCTTCAATCCGGCTTTACTGCAAAACGAAGGCGAAACGAAAACGGCCCACGAAATCTCGCCAAAACACCGTTTAGGTTCAGCCCTGGGCACCGAGAACCTCTGAGAAGGCGCGAGAACTTCTGAGAAGTCCGGCCGCCTTCGGAGAAGGCCTTCTCCTTCTTGCTTCCCTTCCCTCGCTCGCCGCCGAGAGGGGTGGTGCAGGCTATCAATCTCTCCAAATGATGCACGTCCACAGTGGGCGGCAACACTGCGCAGGGCCTGAGGCAAGTGCAGTTAAGCTACAGTTGGCGGCTTGGATAAGGAGCACTTGCTGTTCGAAAGGGGATCGGTCGTTCCTTGGGTTTGCATGTGATCCGCTGCCTTTTCGCCGCTAGAAAGAGGCTCCGCCGTTCCTTCGGACTTCGTAGACTTCCTTGGACAAGCACCAAGGCTTCGTTCCTTGTTTATCGTTCCTTAGGTCAGGCCGATGGCTGTACAGTGCGGGCGCGGCCGCAAGAAACCCTCGCAAGAAACCCAGCCCTGAAAACCCGCGCGCGAATCGCACCGGATGGGGAAACCGAGAGCACCCTGCACGCATCAGCTCCTCCAACAGCCGCGGGAAGTCGCCGCGCCACGCGCGGAGCGAAGAAACCCAGGATACCCCGACGAAAACTGCATACTTTCTTGATGTGCGCCCACGCTGTAGATTGAAGTCGGGCCTGTCCCTCTAGAGACGGAATGTCCAAAATAGTCAAAACAAACAGTCTGGGGACTATTTTTTGAATCTGTTTTGACCATGTGTGGGCATTGCTTGACTAACTTGATTGTTCCGTCCACAGTCCCCCTGTAGGGGGACACGCCCGACCTAACTGTAGATCATCTGCCCTCGCGCGTCGCGCCCCAGGACGCGCGGTCCGCTCCACGCCCTCGCGCGGTGCCAGCGGGGAGAAGGGCACCTGTGAGGCCCAGGGCGCGAGGCACGATTCTCTGCGCGCCCCGGTGCGTGACCTGCACGGTTTCCCCCCAGGCCGTAGGCGACCCGAGGAGGAGGGGGAGGAGGAGGAGGAGGGGGAGGAGGAGGAGGAAGGGGAGGAGGAGGAGGAGGAGGAGGAGGAGGAGGAGGAGGAGGAGGAGGAGGACGGAGGGGAAGGAGGAGATGGAGGAGGAGGTGGAGGAGGGAGGAGGCGGAGGAGGAGGGAGGAGGGAGGAGAGGAGGAGAAGCAAGAGGCGGAGGAGGAGGAGGAGGACGGGTCGCCCAAGTCCTTCGGAGAAACCCTCCAGCGTGACCTGGAGTACATGTCATGAGGGACGAACGTTGATCAGTGTGCAGCCCGAGTTAGAGCCCGAGCCTAGACCGGCAGAGCAATTGTACGCCTCGCTGTCCACCTCGGGCACCCGGCAGCCACGCTGCCTGTGCTGGCAGCACCAGGCCTGCTGCTGCTGGCCCCAAGAGTCCTGGAGATCCCTGCATTGCCGCACCGCGCAGATCGAGCATCCCTAACCCTAGGAATTAAGTTCCTAGGAGAGGAAGAATAGAATCATACCCCGGAACGATCAGATCGACTGAACGATCAGACAACGATTCAGACCATTGGAGCTACATCTCTAGGTATTCCTAGGATCTGACCCTTTGGAGCTTCCCTAACTGCGCAGAGGAAGCATGAGATAGGGTTACGTCTGGAATTTCATGCTTCCTCCCTTCAACCATCTTTGACATTCAGAAGCCTCGGGCAGACCGGCCAGAGTCGTCGCCGCCTTTCCTTACGGGGGCATCAGGCTGAAAAACTTGGGTTTCAGCAACTGGCCAGCTCGGTTGTCATCGACGCAATGAGACCATTGAGCACTTTCTGCTACACCATTCTTTAGACCTCGGCGGCTTTGGGAGCCAATATTTTCGACTCACCATTGGTAAGTCAGATAACATAACTGATCGGTCTCGCTCTCTATCTCGCTCTCTCTGTCTCTCTCTCTCTCTCTCAGGATGCGCATGCCAGTATTTATCAAAACGCATGCGACCCTCCTCGGCTCGAAACCACTCCTCCGCCACGTCCAAACTCAACTCCCTCAGCTCCTGGGTGCCTGGGGACGAGGACAAAAGAACGATGAGTCCGCACTTCCGAAGCCAGAATCCCTGGTGAAAAGCATGAACGGCCCACGAATATGTAAAGCGACATCTGTATGCCAAGCCAAGCCTGCACGCTTTTTCCTGGTGGTCGTCGCGTCGTCGCACTCCTCCTCCTTTTCCTCCTCCTCCTCCTCCTCCTCCTCCTCCTCCTCCTCCCCCTCCCCCTCCTCCTCCCCCCTCCTCCCCCTCCCCCTCCCCCTCCCCCTCCCTCCTCCTCCTCCTCCCTCCCCCCTCCCCCTCCCCCTCCTTTTCCTGCTTCCTTCTCTTCCTGCTCCTGTTCCCCCGCGCATCGCGGCTCCAGATGCTCCCATCGTCGCCGATCGGCAAACCCCATGTCTCTGGCGCAGAGACCGACGGGGCCTCGACTTTACAAGTCCGCCGGCCCTGTCGGCGTGTGTGACGGGTTTTTTCGTCCGAATCGTCGTCGCCGTCACTCATTCATCGTCGTCTGTCGTCATCATTCCCATTTCCTTTCCCTGTGCCCGTCGCCGCTCCTCTCTCCTTTCCTGGGCTCTCCTCCTCAAGCGCGTCAACCAACGCGAAATTTAGCAACGTCGTCATACAATCGAAGTGAAGCCCCTTCCCTTTGATCCCTCCCCCACGGGGGGGGCCTGGGTCCGGGCCCAAGGGGGTCCCGGGTCAGATACGCTTCCCCTCCGGGGGGCTCCTAAGCAAAGACAAAGCCTCACGACAGGTCAAGAGTGCCCCACAAACTCCCAAAAAGACACTACACGAGGGCTCCGAATCGCCGAACGATGTGTCGACGACGCCTGGACGGCCTCCAGACTCCAGACCCCAAAAATCCTGCAAGACGCTCAAAGAGGCCCCCAGGAGCAGTCCCAAGAATGCCTCGAGAACAGAAATCGTAATTGTTCCATTGGTTTTTGCATGATCTCGGCGCTCTTGCCTCTCCCGCTTCCCGACGCTCCAAGATGGGCCAAGCGGCCTCCCAGATCGCCCCCAAACTGCTCCCGAGGGTTCCAAGAGAGACCCAAAAGGGCCCAAGAGAGTCCCAAGACAGCCCAAAACGCCTCCAATAGGTCCCCGAGACAGCTCCAAGTCGGTGCCGAAACGACGGACCAGAACGGACATTCCAAACCCTCCGCCCGAGTGCTCCCAGGAGGAACCAAAAGATCCCCCAAGGGCCCCCAAGAAACCCCGTAGAGACGCCAAAATGCTCCCGAAAGGCCCCCAGGAAGCCCCAACAGACCCCCAAGAGGCTCCCAAGAGACCCCTACATCGACCAGACCCCAAGAACCATCCCTGAGGACCCGGACCCACATCAGCGTCGTCGTGGTCGGCAGCCCAACGGTGTATACACAGTAAAGTGGCTGCCGCCCTGCACTTTTGTCTTGGTGGCGACGCACCACCCCCATCCTGGTAGCTGGCGGATCCATGGCGACTCCTCTGCCATCCAACTTCTCATCCCTCCTCTTCCTTCCATCGTTTTCCCCATCCCTTTCACATCCTCCGTCCCCCTCTCCCCTCCCCCACATTCCTGTTGCTTTTTGAGTATGTTCATCGTCGCTGGATTCGCCGTCGTCCCCCATCAATGTCGGCGGCACCAGCCGTATGGCCTTCGCAATCAAAGGACTGCAAGAAAGGGACGCGCCACGTGACGTGCCAAGGGCGACCCATGGGATGCGCCAAAAAACGTGCCAGGGGGCGTGCCACGGGACCCGCAAAGGGGCATGCCGTGGACGCGCCACTGGACCTGCCACAGGGCGTGGCAGGGGACGCGCTTGAAGGCGAGCCAGGGAACGTGCCATGGGACGTCCCACGGGACGCGCAAGTAGACGCGTCAGTGGACACGCCCGAGGACGCGCAAAGGGACGTGGACGCGCCAGGGAACGCGCCATAGGACGCGCCAGGGTGCGCTCCACGGAAGTTGTCAGGGGAGGCTCCAGATGACGAGCCGAAGGACGGGCCGCCAGGGGGCGTGCAAAGGGACGTCAGCTGAAATGCTACGGGGCACGCCAGGGGCAGCGCCAAGGGACGCGCAAAACAGCTTGCCGAAGGACGCGCCGTGGGATGCGCCGCGAAGTGCGGCAGTGGACGCGCAAGAGACGAGCCAATGTATGCGCCAGGGGGTGCGGGTCTGGGGGCGTGCCACAGGACGCGCCGCGTGACGGTCCCACGAAAGTGCAAGTGGACGCGTCAAGGGATGCCAAGGAACGTGCCCAGGGACGTGCCGCGAGACGCGCCAGAGGGGGCGCCGTGGGAAACGTCAAGGGACGAACAAAAGGGCGCGCCAAGGAACGCACCGTATAAGAGCCACAGGACACGCCAGGAAATGCGCAACGGGGTGCGCCAGAAAAGAAATTCATGGGGACGTGCCATTGGCGCGCCGCAGATGTGCCAGGGGACGTGCCGAGGGACATGCCAAGAGACGTGCCAGGGACCGTGCCAGGGACGAACCAGGGGACGAAGCAACCTGCTCTGTAATTATCCCCTGGCCCACCACTGACGCATGCGATGCACCGCCTCGATTTTCTCCTAGGCCAGGGGGGCCCTTCGCAAGTGTCGTGTGCATGAGCGGCCTTTCGACGTTGAAGAATGATCTCGCTGCGCGCGCGGCAAGCGCGCGCCCCTTTCTGCCCCCCGGCGGGGTCCGAACGGCGCCCCGCCGACCCCCCACTACCACCGCCATTGAGCGGCGTCGCCAGGCTTGAGCCAAACGCCCGCAGCGGCGTCGGATGAACAGCACAGTGGTGCAGGCACGTGTGAATATGATCGACTGCCCCCGCGTCGGGCGCCAGGGCGGCCGCGCCCCCACGCGCTGGCCTCCGGCGCGCCCGCCTGGGGACGCTGGCCCACAACATCATGTTGCACCGCTCGCGCCGCAGCGGCGATGGCACACGGTTGGTCGACGGACTTTTCGTTCATTCGGCAGGCCCGCGGTGCGCCCCAGAGCCAATCGCTTAATCGCGCGGGCGTCCTGCGGGCCTGTCTCCGTGACCCGTGACAACCTCGATTGCCTTCTGCTCCAGACGCCGCCGCCCCTGTCTTTCTTGCCCAATTGATTCTCAGGGCCGCGCGACCGCGAAGACTTGCCACGCTCGTTTTTTTCACTGGCCAAACTCGCCCTTCAACTTCCAGACTCGCCCTTCCGACTCCCTTCTCGCCATCCGCTCCCCGAGCTCCTGTTGTCGCCGCTGGCGCTGCGCGCGTCGCTGTCTCTGCCGCGCCTTCTGCCTCGTTTTCTGTCTCTCGCTTCCTGCTTTTGTCCTTGTCCCAGCCCTCGCCAGTCTTAGGCGTTCCTTCCTACTTTGCCCCAATCCTTGCTTCCATCGCCTTTCTGCCCCTTTGGCTGGGCCGCGTGATTCCCGGCGAAAGCGTCGTCGAGGCCGCCGCCTTCGCGGTCTCTTCGCGCCGCCGGGGGGGGGGGGGCAGCCAGTGTTTCCCAACCGCGAACGCGGCGGCTGCGTGCGAGGTAGACGCGCGATCAAGCGTCGATGCCCCTTCCACAGCGCAGCCGCTGGCCCGCCGCGCAACCCCCGCGCCTCGGTGGCGACATAATCGCGGAGATGTCTTCACTTGTTTTGAGGACAAGATCGGCGCGTATGCGCGAGACTTTCGTCATGGCGTTCACGGTTCCCCGCGCGAGCCACTCTGTGCCGGCTGGAACCCAAGGCCCATGCTCTGCTCTAGTTGCTCGGTCGCGGTCTGACTCTTCCACTCGTGGCCGTCGAATCGTCTCGGGCCGCTGGTCTGATCCAGGCCAGAATCACGCGCCGAAGTGGTGGCCAGAAACTAGCGGGCATTTTGCCCTGCCGCTTCGGGCGCCTCGGCCGCGGCCGCTTCAACCGTGTCGATTGTCATCTGAGCAGGGAGATTACCCCTCCAAAAAAATCCCAGGGCAGACAAGAGGCCAACAATCAGGACTAGAGGCCAACCCTTTTGCAATCGGCAAAATCCGTTCTGCTTTGAATACTTAGGCGCAATGCTTGCCGCCTCGGCAAACGCCTCAACTTGGCCCAGCCTGGCGCTCATCGCAGAAGATAAGGCAGCCTGTTTCCCCTCTTGCTCAAGCTGATCCAGCTTCGCGGCGGAAGCCAAATTGACCATCTTTGCCAAAGTGAGGTCGGTGGTCTTGTCCGACGGACCATGTATTCCAATTGCTTCATGAGGTAGGTATCTTCCGTCCTCTAAAAGAGAATGAAACTCCAATCGCAGATCAGTGAACTTCCAATCCAATTCCATCGTCCTCCTCCAAAAGGTCGCTCAACTCGAGCACTTCCTGGCCAAATCTCGCCGCCGGCCCCGCAATGGATCGCGCTTGGTGCGCGCATTCGGATCGAAGACTAGTGACTCTTGGGGTGTTGGCGCC